ACTTGTCTATTTGGCAAACGTGCAAAGAAGGGTGGGAAGCTGAAAGAAACAATATGGTGAACTGGGTAGTAAAATAGTAAAGAACGGTGAGCTGTTTCTTCTTGAATGTCTTGATTAAATTCTCTATGTAGAAGTGAGATGTTTATTGGTTCACATACAAAGAGACGTCTGATTATGGGAATGGAGGGAACAATTTTAGCAAGTATTCTAGTCAGAAAGGTCAGCCGTGATCCAGCCTTGTGGTTTTGTTAGGTGCCGTTGAGTTAATTCTGATTCATGGGGACCCCATTTAGAGTAGAACTGCCCCTTAGGGTTTTCTAGGTTGTACTATTTATGGGAACAGATCACCAGGACTGTCTTCTGAGTAACCTGTGGGTAGGTTTGAACCTCCAACCTTTCAGTTAGCAGCCAAGCACTCAACTGTTTGTGGTACCAAAGTCTAAACCTTAGTCTGGCTGATTACAGGCAAAAGAACACTATAATGCTGTGGCCACAAAAAAAGAAAGGAAAAAAGCAAGCAATATGTAACAGAATTTTAGGGTTTGTTTAGGTCATCATTTACTACTTAAGAAAACAAAGACTTCAGGTCTCTGAAGTAGCTCAAGTTTCAGTCCCTGGAAACCTGGAGTTCTAGACATGAATTGAGTATGTGGAGGAAGAATTTTTGACTTTTAAGCAGGTTTTACTGTAAAACTCGGGAGCTCTGGTAGCATAGTGGATAAAAGCACTTGACTGCTAACCAGAAGGCTGGCGGTTCAAACCCACCAGCCACTCCTCGGAAGAAAGGTTGGGCAATCCTACTTCTGTAGTGATACTGCCTCGGAAACCCAAGGAGGGGTCGCTATGAGTCGGGGCCGACTAGACGGCAAACAACAACAACAACAACTGTAAAACTCCTACTGTGTGTTCATTCAGTACAGATGAATGCACTAGTACACACAGCAACTATATCACTGTCATCCTATTTCTGTGCTTTAGCTGATGTGCTTCTCTTTTTTGGTTCTGAACTACACAAAAACACTAAGTGCAGTGGTTAAGCTTTCCATTCACTACACGACTGTGTGTGTGCTTTCCCCCAATCAGAACTTCCTCCATTTAGTATTTTACTTAGGAATAGTGCTTTCATGCATCTTCAATTGGCATTTTATTTCTACCCTTTGACGTGTTTCTTGAACAAAGGCCAAGCTGTGATTTCGTGATGTCTCTTTTTAGAACACCCAAGAAGTGGGAAATTTACAGAAATTGTCAAAGCCAGAAAATCCTGCCCGTAAGATCCTTCCCACCAGAGTGGTATGCTACAGTCCATGCTGCCTTAAAAAATCCCAAGCGCAGGATACCACTGGAGCAGTCTCACTGATACTGGTTTATTTGCAACAGTTAATATTTAAAACAGAGAAAACTGCAGTGGTGGTGTAGTTCAGAAAATAACCAAGTTTGTGGGTGGGTGGTACAACTTACTGTCAGTCACCATAATGGATTTTGCCCTCACACCCCCTCCCCAACTGCCTTTCCTCTGTACGTGTGTTTCTCAGATATTCCAGCAGGTGGCACTGTAATCACAGAACAAACATTCCACAGCAAGGTATGTAACTTTATTTTTCTAGCATAATAATTTAAAGTATTTACACACTGCACACTTACTGTTTTACACAGATACTTATTTATATTCCTATGAACCACATCTAAAGGTTTCTTTGGAAACACTTGACTTGCTAGGAGGTGGGAGTGGGGAGGGGTTCTAAGCCTACCAAAGAGAAAATGGGAAAAATATTTTGAGTATTTTAAAGATGGCCACGTGGAGCATCTCTGAAAATCAATATTTTTTTCCAAAGTTTTAAGCTCCTCCAAGAGACTTCTGAACAGCTATTGCCTGTCCATATATTAACATGACCCCTAAACTCTTCTAAGGATTTTTAAGAACCAACATGTGCAGGTAGCATTTTCTCTAAAATCCTAGAAAAGAAACAGGAGGAAATTAACCTAACTCTTCTCTAGAGAAATACTTAATCTTTTCTGAAACAGTTATCTGTGGGGGCTGTAAATGTTGTGCAAGGGCACTGATGATGAAGGGAAAATAGCTAAGCACAATGGTTCTGCATGAATGATGCAGGATGCTTTTAAGTATGCTTTCCAGCTAAGTGGTATGGTGAAACAATCCAATTTTCTTTGCTCAACTATTTGTAGAGGTGGTTTAGTTTTCCCTGAAAAAGACAAAGGTCTATTAGTCACATACATTCTAAACCCAAATACCATAGTTATTTCTACTATTTTAAACTCATTTTTAGACTATTTGCACAAAAATAGTGGTTAGAAGTATACTCCTAGTTTTCTTGCATCATTTACTCAATTACAAAACAAGTACTAGCAAACTACGGCTTCTCTATCTGGCACATGGCTGCAAAGGTGAACAAAAGTAGCCATAGTTCAGAGTTGATGTAGGTGTCCACCTTCTACAAAAGAATCAAAAAAAGAAAAGAAAACAAAGCAACCAAACTCACTGTCGTCAAGCCAACTCATAGCCGTAGGGACTCCTCCTTGAGTTTCCAAGGTGGTATCACTACGGAAGTAGATTGCCCAATCTTCTTTCCCAGGTGTGGCTCCTGGGTTTGAAATACCAGCCTTCTGATTAGCATTCAAATGCCTTAGGCACTACACCACTGGAGATAATAGGTTTAAATTCCAACTCTTTGCAGAACTTTTTTTTTTAAATTAAGCGGCAGGATGCCTTCATAATTTTCCAAAATGGTCAAAACTATTCTCATTCACCAGCAGTAGCTAGAGAGTTTTGTCACCTTAACCCATAACTACATCCTGTGACTACTGCACTAAGAAACAAAACTTCTCAAAATGGCATTCTCTTTTCCTGCCAGGTGAGGTCTCTGGCAGTGCCACTCGGGTGGATTACCCAATAAGCTAAGTAAGCATGGGTTTACTTACTAATCTGAAGTTTCACATGTGTTTTGTGGATGTGGTGAAACACATGTGCAACTGTTCACTTCAGATTAATAAAGCACAAGCAAGCCTATGCTTGCTTATCTTACTGAGTACTCTGTCCCAGTCAGGGATTATAAATTTGAACAGAGGGTTTGAGTCTGTAGGAAGGTGTTGTGGGGTTGGGAGAAAGAGAAACATCAGCCCTAACAAGCAGCAGAATCTTTGACGTCGCAAAAAAATATGGAATTGTGTTAAGCCCCTGTTTACCTGCTTATTGGGCAATGTGACATCGGTGACACTCATCAATAGGATGTGGCAAGAATTATCTGGCCAACTGAAACTAAATAACCCTGGCCAAAATGACTATAGTTACTTAACATTCACATCTTTTGCTTTGTTTGTAAACTTGAATTTTTAAGGTAAAGTACAAATTTATCACTGCTTTCTACAGCCAAACATTTACATTGATATAAATATAAACCTACCTATTCTGGAGATAACTTTCTCAGTTACTGTTCTGCCTTTTTCTGCTCTTTTTGCAAGGGGTGCCAACATTGGAATGGAAGCGGCAAGAAGTCATTTTACTTTGTTAAGGATTTCATCAAGCTACATGGGTAACTAAGAGCTCTTTGGTGCAGTGGTTAAAGCATTTGGCTACTAACTGAGAGCTTGGTGGTTTGAACTCACTGGCTGCTCTGAGGGAGAAAGAGGTCACGGTCTGCTTCTGTAAAGACTTCCAGCCATGGGGCAGTGCTACTCTGTCCTAGAGGATCGCTATGAGTCAGAACTGAATTGATGACAGTGGGTTTTTTGGTGTGAGTTAAGTAAATATTCACCTCCATGTGTTAAGAGGGAAAGTACATGATTAGAAAGAGATGACCTGGGAAGCAACAATTTTAGTTAATAAGAATGTTTGATTAACCAGCACCAAGTTAGCCACACAGTGAGTCAGGTCAAGAGGGCTTGTGTTGGAGACCATGACGTGGAGGGTAAAGAAAGAAAAATTCTGTGATGAGATCTGGGCCCCTCTATCAGAGACACTCTAACAAGCCCCAGTCCTTGGATTCCTAAGGCATGTTGGGGAAAACTTACTGGGGTTGGAAAATGTGGGCCAGTGTGTTTCTGGCCCAAAGAGCTAAGAAAGGTTAAGGACGTTATGTTTGTATAAATTAGAGGAAAAAAAGAGCAAGGCCTGATTATCCCTAAATGTATGTTCTCATGTTTTGTTTAATGCAGGACAGAATTACAAGAGGGAAAAACTAGAGTTTAAACAGGGGCATAAAGTGAGAAAGTCTGTGATGCCTTGTATTTACATATGAAATCGCTATCATTCGACCCTTTTGACCTACAAAAACAGCAGTTTCATGTGAACAGACCAAATACATTGGTAGGTGATCTAATAAAATGATCCTAGTCAGTAGGAACTGTGATAACACTCCCCTCACCTGAAAAAGCAACAGCCGTTAAACAGAGAAGGCTGCTAAAAATCAGTGTTTAACACACTCAAAAGCACCTGTAAGGGGAGGGGAGGGAGTTAACAGTCTCTCCTTTCAAACCCAGAGAGGGCAGAAGGGGTAAGACATAGTTCAAAGGAACGAGGCAGCTTCACCAGGAGGAAGCAGGTGAAAACTGCTCCCCATGGCAAATCAGTAGCAATGGGGAAGGGGAGGCGGGAACAGCCAAGAATAGCTAAGAACAACGTCACTAGTCATCTTCAAAGGGAAGGCTGTGTATGGTGTCTGTGTATATGTACTATACATACTAACCAAGTACACACATAAATATTTAATATATAAAAAATAAAGTGCTTTCTAACAGGTCCCCATGCAGGGACATTATAAAACATTTCACAAAACTGCAAAACAAAATTGATACAATCAAAAAACACTACATCCAACATATGTGAAAACAGCCAAACACAGTTATGTACAATCTGGTGGGTGTTCCAGGACAAACATCCTGTCATATACATGGTATATACATATATACTCTGATCTTTTACTCAATATATTATGACAATATATATTTTAAAATTTTGCTGTAGACATAAAACAAAAAGACAACCCCTACAAAAACAGAATGAGGAACAAGCATGTGAGTCCAAGACCAACAGACAAGTCACTGCCTCCATAGGGAGTCCCATTGCTGCTGCTTGGGAAGATGTGCCAGCGTTCCTTCCTTGGGTGCAGCACCGCCACGTCCTCCAATGCACTGTGGGCTGCGGCGGTGAAGTTGGCGTCACCAGTGGTGAGCAGGTCAAAGACACAGGACTGGAAATAGATGTCCTTCACTGGCATCTTCTCATGGCATTGAGTGTTGGCAGTCTCCAGTGTGTAGCCAGGCCAGGTCTGTGCCAAGGCAGTGCGAGGCAGGGTGTGCCCTACGATGGCAGACACCTGGCCCTGCCCATCATCAATGCGTTCACTCAGGGGGCAGCCATTCACACACAGCTGCAGGTCTTGGCTTTCCTCGTACGACATGGCCAGGTCTTCGGGCATCCGGATGGCAAGGGTCAGGTAGCGACCCAGCTGCCTCACAAACACCGTGGTCCCTATGTAGCGGGCGTGCATCTCCACATAGCGGCCACTCTCCCTCTCTACGATACGCAGACTCTTGGTATCACCATCCCCACCACTGGTGGTGCCATCCACAAAGGCAGCTGGCAGGTCATCTGTCACAGCTTGGTATACTTTCTGATCTGTACACTCATGATGGGCTTTGAAGATGACAGTAATCTGTGGGAAGGAACACAAAGAACATGATGGGAGGCAAACAGAATGGTACTTTGCACTACAACAAGAGTTCTCTTCCATTTTTTAGTTAAATGACTTAGGACAGTATCTCCATACTTGAACAGTTGCTTCTGCCTCCCTAATGAATGGTGTCACCTTCAAGGAAAATTAAAAGATCTATGTATTCAGGAGCTCTGGTAGTGTAGTGCCAAAGGCACTTGACTGCTAACCAGAAGGCTGGCAGTCTACTTCCGTAGTGATACCGTCTCAGAAACCCAAGGAGCAGTCGCTGAGTCAGGGCCCACTTGATGGCACATAACAACAACAACATGTATTTAGAGTGGTCCCTGGGCACCGCAAGCAGTACTGATAGTACACTAATTAAGCACTCGGTTGCTACTCAAAACGGTGGTGGTTGAAATCCACCCAGCAGCTCCATGGGAAAAAAAATCTAGCGATCTGCTGTAAACATTACGTACAGCCTGGAAAATCCTATGGGGCAGTCTATTCTGTCACATGGGGTCACTATAAGTTGGAATCGACTTGACGTACCCAACAGCAACAACAACTGGGTCCTGCAACTGGTTCCATGCTCAGCTGATAACCAAAAGGTTGAAGGTTTGAGTCTACTCAGAGTTGCCTCGGAAGGAAGGCCTGGTAATCTACTTCTCCAGAATCAGCGACTGAAAACCCCATGGAAATCTGCTGACACACATGGGGTTGCCCTGAGTCAAAATCAAATGCCGTGGCAACTTTTAAAAATGTATTTTTAATTAAAATATAGTAAAAATCCAAGGGATGTGCATCAAGACAGTATTTATCTTTATTTCCTAAGACAGAGAACAGTGTTGCTATTGGGATAGAAGCAATTTTTACTGATCATTTCTATCTTGCCCCTTTTCAAAAATGGACGAGCTATGGTAGCATAGTGGCTAAGACACTTGCCTGCTAACCAGACGGCTGGCGGTTCAAACCCACCAGCCACTCCTCGGAAGGAAGGTTGGGCAATCCTACTTCCGTAGTGATACTGCCTCAGAAACCCAAGGAGGGGTTGCTATGAGTCAGGGCCGACTCGACGGCACATAACAACAACAACAACAACATGGTATAACTGAGGAAATAAAAAGATTCCCTTCTAAGTTATGCAGAATCCTGAAAGAGCTTAATTAACAATGTAACTTCTAGCATTTTGATTTCTAAAAAGATTTTTCATCAGTCTATAACACCCTATCCCAGTCCGCACTACCAACTGACTAAATATAAATACCGTGAGTAGACGTAGAGGGAGCATCCCGGCAACGGCTCCCAATCATGTGCCTCAGGAAAGGTTTCTCTAAGTCCCTTAATCAAATGTTTCACATCACGGGCTAATCCCTGTGACGGGGAAATCACTTGGCAAATATAGCTCCCAAGCACTGGCAGGAAATAAATACCCTAAACCTGGTTACAGCAAATGTTTTCCCCAAACAGTACCATGGCTCTTTAACTCCTCAGAAATTTGTTCCCAGCCAACTCTCAATTCTCCAAATTAACCCGCAGACACTTCATGGAGAAAAAAACATCTACTAATACTACAAAAACCTCCCTTTGATAAACGTATTGTTGGCTCTGCAGAATCTCGATATTCCTGTGTCACTCAAGATGAGAAACTGCCTCAAAGGCGGGGGGGGGGGGGGGGGGGGTTTTTTTTTTTTTTTTTAATTTGTTCTATTGTTAGTAACTGAGGTAACAGCTTCTTTATTTCTTCCTTCTTGAAAGAGGGGGAAAACACACACATACACACACACATACATATATCAGGTGACTTTAGTCAAGGAGGAAGGTAGACAAGCCAAACACTCCACCAATTGCTTTGGATGGGGGAAACCTTCCACCTCTTGCAAGGGCACTAATCAGAACAATAGACCCTTGTTATAAAGGCCAGAAAACCAGCCCTCCCCCTCCCCCCCTCAAGTTTATGTCTGAAGTTTTTTTCCCCAACTCGGCCAGCATTTGCTCACAGTATTTAATTCCACATGTTCCCACTGGTGTTACTTGACTGGAATTTTCCAGCCATTTCATTTTACTTCAGCCAGTTATAAAGCCAGATCTGAACCAGCTGCACTGCAGCAACTAGTTAAATTCATATCCGTTGTTTGCAGCTGCAACCAAGGCCAGACAATGTTCTATGAAAATGCTGGGGTTTCTCCCTCCCTAATTACCCTGGGCCACAATTTAATTTCACTACTAGCCTTCTCACATTTCAACACCTTTTAACAACCCAAAGGAGGTGTACCAGAGATGATTTCAGGAAATTTGTTGTGCATCCAACCACAGGACCTTCCAGAGTGGATGGAGTTTGGAGCTGGGTATCTAATGGGACTATAAAATATATTTGGCAGCTGAGTTTAAAGGAGCCCTGGTGGTGGCACAGTGGTTAAGCACTCAGCTGCTAAATGAAAGGCTGGTGGTTCGAACCCACCAGTTGCTCTGTGGGAAAAAGATGTAGCAGCCTGCTTCCATAAAGATTACAGCCTTGGAAACCCTGGGCAGCAGTTCTACTGTCCTACAGGGCCTCTATGAGTCAGAACTGACTCGATGGCAGGGGGTTTGGATTGATTCTTTTGATTAAAGTCAGTTTGATAAATACTTTGTTAAGGCTAGTTATGACGTCTTGGAGGTGAAAAGATAAACTCAAGTAAATTCTGCATCTGAAAACATTCAAAGTTTAACAGTATAGATGGCTAAAATAATTAGTAATAGACTTCTCACATAATCACTACCCTTATTCTCAACTATAACATTCACACTCAAGGATTAAACAAACTCTTCTTGTAAAACAGCTAAGTAATTTGTCTAACAAACCTCAAATTTAAACCAAATTGGCATTATTTGCAAGAGCTAAATACCTTTTTGTTCACATTTAGATACACAAAGAGGAAATAGTTTGCACAGGACAACAAAGCTGCGATATTCAATTCCAAATAAGTTTCCAAAAAGGCAAGCAAGGGTCAGTATTAAGATAAGTGGAATGGAATAGTTCCACATGTCTTCCCAAGCCTCTGTTTTTTTCATTAAGCCCACCAATTCCAACTCAGAAACTCAGAAGTCATTTCAAACACCTCACACGTAACTGTCCTCTGCTATTCCTATGACACCTAACAGTATCTCCCACACATCTAAAGAAATCAAGCAAAACAGAAAGTTCAATTTCTGCTCTACTATCTACACTAACCAAAGATTCCAATTTACCTAACAGATTTCCAATTTCCTAGTGGTGATTTTCTCCCAGACACTGCAGTTGATATTCCTCCTGTTTTTCTACTACACAAGATTCTCTCACCCAGAACATATGTATGGAATTATCCCTTGAATCAAAATTCTAAGGGAGATGAATTGAGGCCAAAGCACGAGCAGGGGTTTCCTGAGTGGTCCTCTGTAGTTTAAGTATGTACCAAACAGGTAACTAGACATAATCAACGTGAATGCAGAAAACACTTGGTAAGATTTCACACGACTTACATTTCGTATGTGATTTCATTCTTACAACAATTATAACAGGAGCACTTAAAAAACAAGGACTAGTCATAAAGGGTTGCAGTGTAGTAAATTACTTTGTGTGGCTTTTCTACCCATAAGTCTTTGTAAACTCCAAGGTGGGATTTGCTATGAGCAACTGAGGAGCTCCTGATTGCTGAAGGTGTCCACCTGGAGTATTTCTGTTGGGAGTGGCACAATACAATGTTCTGGGAGGTGCCCACTCTCTCTCAGGTGCTTAGAGTTCTGATGCCATAATTGGCTAGTTTGACCACCCTGCCGGGCTCAAAAGGAGGCCTCCTGGAAGCAGAACTCTCTCTGACTGCTGGTTGAGGAAGACGTGCTGCCGAAAGAGACACGCACCCCTGAAAGAGACACGTGCTGCTGGGAAAGAGCCGCAAGAGACACGCATCGCTGAGTGAGACACCGAGGGACCAGCACTGCTGGGAAAGAGACTGTGAGAGACTCTTGGCTGAGGGACGGTGGGCTGGGAGAGAGACTGAGCGTTCTTCCTGACTTGAGTTGTAGCCTGGTGCTTCCCTAATAAACCCTGTAATCTGTGAGTTCTGTGTGGCCACTGCAGCAAATTATCGAACCCAGGAGAGAGGTGGTGGGTGCTTTGGGAGGAACGGTTGGTGAAAGGGCTGGAGGGAGGCAGCATGTTTGGCCTTGCAGTAATAGGCCTTGGTTTACTGCTGGTAATCCTGCCTTCCCCTTGTAGGGTTAGAGGAGGTCAGAACATGTGGCCTCCTTGCCATTTTTGCAAGGGTCAAGAACTCATTTTCCCTCCTTGGAAGAACAATAATGTATAATACAAAACAAAGTAATGTGAAAACATTCAAACTTTAATTTGAAATGTTTGGATATTTCAAACTTTTCTTATTTCCAACTAGCAGCTATCAGAATGCACAACTAGAATATTCCTAACTGTATTCAAAAACTCTCAGAAACTGATAATTTTCAAGCACTATCTATGCTGCTTACTATTCCCCCCACAAACTGATCCATATGCTTCAGTAACTCAATTTGGCACATTTGTTCTATGGCGCACCATTTATTATTGATGGATGGCATTTCTGTGCATTTAAAACATCAATGCCTTTTGTTAAACCTCCTCCACCCAGTCCCTTCCAACCCCCACCTTAGACAACTACTCCAGTTCTCCTCATTCATTTTTAATGTTTCACTCCCTGTGATCTTTACCACCCACAAAGTCTATTAGGAAGAGACAGATAGCAGCTACAAATCAACCTTTCTACAACAAGGACTTAAGATCTGCTGTGCAATACCAAAACTAAGAAGCATCTGCCTCTCCTTTTCACCAGGAAAATACAAAGTACATTAACGGAAAACAAACTTGGCAACAAAGAGGAAAACCCAGGCACTGCCTCACCCAGAGAGAACGAGCGAGCAAGCTTCTTCCCAAGGCACCACAGTCCTGCAAACTGCTGTGCACAGGTTTTAAAAGAGCAGAATTCCTCAAAGGC